ATTTTTTTTTTTTTTTTTTTTTTTTTCTTCAATGAAGATTTTTAAATAATAATAATAAAACTTTACTCGTTTACTTTGCAGTAAACTTTAAATTATTTAATACATTTAAAATATAAAAAAATCTCTAAATATTACAGAGTACGTTTTGTATTTTTACAATTTTATTGACTTATTTTATACCTATTTTAAATTTAATAGTTACGTTGGTATAATTTTAAACGTTAAATTTTCTACCTATCAACTCCTGCTAAACACAAATTTGAAAGTTTAACCGCTCTCCTCGTGCACTAACAAGATTCATGTGTTATGCACGCGCAGGCGACATGTGTGGCCGAACGAATTTGAATTTTGCACAAGTTATCTTCGATTGACAAAGGCAAACTTCATCTAAGATCCGAGGAAGATATAAAGATGGACGAAAAATGAGTATGGAGATTGGGTTTTCCTCAAGGCTTCAAGGCTTGTCGTGAATATGTCAAGATCATGACGCTGCACAGTTGAAAATATACGACCGTCACACTTGATATTAGAGCTACACTTTGTGTGTCTAGTCGAACAAGAGAGAAGGGAATAAGTTTCAATTTTGTCCAGGTCACCCTCAGTTAGATGTCCTCATTTTGCCACAACAAATGCAAGGCAGTTAAAATCGCCACTGCCCAAATCTTTATACCCTTTATTTGTGCTAACGATGCTGTATTCATCCTTCGTAAGATTGGCAAAAAGGCTAACAAGGTCAACGACTAATTCATTGTATTCAACCGTCATAAAGGTAACTTTATCTATTATTGCAATTTTCATTTTTTTATCTGTAATTTAATCGAGCTTAAACATTAAAGATAAAGGAAATACAATGACTATTTGTTGTGTATTCATAGTTTTCATGATATTAGCCACCGAATTAAGAATGGTATATCTATTTTGTGTTAAATTTATAATAAATAATTAACGATCATAAAGTAACATGTGGATTAAAAAATGTGTAAAAGTGGCTATTACACAGCGTTAGAGAATACATCCAAAACAAATCTAATTCAAATAATTAAATCAACTTTAATCTAAATAACTAAATCAAATTTAAGTAATGTAATAAAATGGACGAAAATACTTTATTTATATAAAATTATGATAAACTTCTCCGGTTTAATTATTTGATTACCAAAGAATTTTAATCACATTATATTCTATTAGACATAATTTTTTTAATACATCATAAACAAGAATTAAACTCTTTTTGAAGCAAAATTCATATTAAGGATATTATTTAAATAAATAACAGTAAAATAATTATTGTTAGGCTACCAGCTACAGTTCTCTCTTCACGACACTCTGTTCGCGGGAGGCCTAAGACGCCTACACAGCGAAAAGGTTTGAGAGTGAAACCCTAGATTTTACGACGCCGATGGCTAACGATACTGCTCACAGGAAGTACCGCCGATCTGCTTCAGATGAGGAGGACGATCGATCTTCGAAGCGTCACAAACACCGTCACCATCGCCGCCACCACCACAGACATCGTCACAGTAGTAATAAGAATGAAGAAGAAAGCTGCCGTGACCAGGAGGACAGTGTTCCTCCTGTTGCTAATCGTTGGTCTCGACCCCAAGATGACGTCGAGGAAGGTGAAATTCTCGAGGGGGATGAGTCCGGCGTTCGCGAGAATGAGAGCGCGATGAAGGAGGCGGATATGGAATTTGGGGAACTTGAAACTGATAAAAATTCTGATAGAATTGTCCGACCCACTAAGGTAAGGTCCCAACCAACACAATTTTATGACAGTTTGACAAGTTGCTTGTTGCTCTACTCGTACATTCTGTTTGATTGCCGTGAAAGTTTGAGAAAAGACTAGGATTGTTAACGTTTGAAAATCGAATGTAACTCGAAGGTTCGATTCTCTTAGAGAATGAACAAAGGCGTTTTTAACTGTCTGTGAACGATGAACAATGACCTTTACAGGTACATGTACCTTTCTTCGTTCGTGTCAGTTGTCAACTTTGGATTCATTTCTTGTATTTAATCTTATACTATGATGGAACGGTGATGGCGACGTTTTTTTAGATTTACTCAGTGTTTCTTGCACATGTAAGAATATGATTACACCTCACGAATACAAGTGAAATGCAAAAGAAGTATCAGTAGGCGTTTCAATGAAGATTCAGGCTTGCATTTAATTTGTAAGATCTGGTTACGTGTTTTCTACTATGCATTTATACTGTCTGACTGTAATTTCTCTGGGATTTTGTAATGCAAGCATTTGCACTAAGTATTTAATCTATATTCGTTTTGCAGGAGTGTCATTCGGTGGATGAATCATCTAATATCAAGGCTAATTTAACTGTGAAGGAGGGAGCAGTAAACAGTCCTCAGGATCAGAAAACCTCGAAAGTGGACAGTAAGTTCTATAATTTAGATAAGGACAAAGGTGGCTCTTATCTAAAAACAGACAGAGACAAGGAAATCAGGATGCTCGATCAAACTGAGTCTGACTGTAAGCACGGCAATGATGTTTGCTTTTCCATAAGTGAAATGACTGGAATTAAATACAATGATCTTGAATGTTGCCGAGAGGATCATCTCAAAGATGGTTATGATCATAAATCTATGGAGTTAGATGAGAGGCAGAACAAACAAATGTTGTCTCCTTCCAAAGGGGGTATTAAGAAAATAAGCAACAATGACCATGGAAAGGTGGCAACAGATGGAAGCACCTTGAGTTATTTGAAAAGGCCACAGTTAGAAAGGGCAGAAGACAAGTCTCAGGATTTGACGCCATCAACATCTCATGATCAATTCATTGACACATCAGATTGCAGGAGTAGATCAAGGTCAAATTGTCATTCTTGGGGGCAATCTCATTCTCGTGAAACAGTAGAAGAGGAGGCAGAGTCAAGGAGAAGACATCATCATGGTTGGGATCACCCAATATTTGATGATAAAAGTAAAATTCATAATGACTTGGACGAGGGTTATACTGATCGTGCTAGGAAAGAAGGAAGGCAACGAAGCAGGGATACGAAGGACAGACGGAGAAGTAAGACGGAGGTGGATAGGGACTGGTCAAAGGAAAATGAAATGGAAAAAACCAAAGATAAAGATAGGGGTATAGATAAGCAAAAGTATGATGAGAGAGAGAGAGGAAGAAGTAGGGATAGAAGAAAGGAGATGGAACAAAATAGGAGCAAGGAAAGAGAGTTGGAAAGGGATAGAAGGAGGGAAAGGGATGTGGAAAGAGATAGGAGAGTGAAGGAAAGAGAGGTGGAAAGAGATAGAAGAGTGGAGAGGGAAAGAGAGGTGGAAAGGGATAGAAGAGTGGAGAGGGATAGAGAGGTGGAAAGAGATAGAAGAGTGGAGAGGGATAGAGATTGTAGCAAGGAAAGAGAGTTGGATGGGGATAGAAGAGCAGAAAAGGAAAGATGTAGGAGCAGAGATAGAGAGGGTAATAGGGATAGAAGAAGAGAAATGGAAAAGGATAGGAGCAAGGACACAGAAGTGGATTGGAATGCAAGAAGAGATAGGGAGAGGGATCGGAATGACGATAAGGCTGAATATAGTGATAGGAATAGAGACAGGGAAAGGGTGAGAGAGATGCAGAAGGACCGGTTTAGGGATACAGAATTAGATAGGGAGAGACGAGACAATAGAAACAAGAATGAAGCCAGTGACATTGTAAGTAGTAAGGACAAGTATGGGAATCTTGAGCCTGGCTATGCTAAAGGTTCTAAGCAGCCTAGGCATTATGAAAATGAATCTGGTCAGGATGGGGGACAAGTTAATGCTGTTGGAAAGCATGGTAGTTTTAGGAGAATTAGTCTGGAAGGAGGTGAAGACAAGCTAGTGAGGTAATTTTTATTTTTATTTTTTGGTTACCTTTAGCTAGCATGAAATCCATCTTCATTTATTGGTTCAACTCCTCTTCCTGTATAGTGATCACGATGAGGAGGAAGAGGACGGAGACAGCATGTCATTTCAATTAGCCGATCAAGAAGAGGAGGATCTTAACAGAATCAAGGAGGAGAGTAGAAGACGGAGGCAAGCAATCTTAGAAAAGTACAAATGCCAGCAGTTGGAGAAACAAGTAGAGCCTTCTTTGAAGCAATCTGAGAAAGGTTAAATTTCTGCATTTACTTGGATTTGGACTGCAATTATTTTCAATCAGGAAGTTATGATAAAAAAATATAATTAGAATCAATTTTATTAATTTAATAATAGTTTGATTTTAGAGTAGCTGTGAAACCAGCAAGTTTGGACTTACATTTTGCCAACCTTCTGTGCATAGACTTGCCTTCTTCTCACTCTTAAGTTTCCTACTGTATAATCGTAGCATTTCACCCCTCCCTCCCCTCCAATTTCTTCTTTTTGTTGTCGAACAATTTACTGATAGGAAGTTCACTTTCCCACAATGAGTATAGCTTATTTAAGGATTAGGTTAATTTGTAAATCTTGTCTGTCTGCAATCTTGAGCAATTGAGTCTGGTTGGTTTTTGTTTGCCTTTTAGAGATGAGCTCAGATGGTCTGATAGAGTTTAGAGACTTTGGTAGGTCTGCACCTTAGATAGACAGTGTAGTAACTACCTCAATCTCACTTTAATACAGTGATTTATCTTGATCAGATAAGGATTCTGCAAATGATTCTTCTCAATCAGAAGCTGCTGCTCATGCTATTCCAAAATTGGTTGATGGGCCTGTGGATGATAGTGTTGCTGACTCATCTTTTGTTGTGGAGAAATCACCACATCAAACTGGAGTAGCTGCATCTGATAACACTGCTGGTACTAAAGGACTTGGAGAGGGGACTCCAAAGGTGCGCAGAATGCTCTCTTTTGTTAGAGGGTAGATTCCTCTCTGTTTTTCTGAACTTTGTAGTCTCTTTTGAGCTCCATTTATTGCAATTTTTTTCTCCATTAGTTATATTCTTTATTTTGAGAAGATGGATCCTTTTATAATTTTAAAATTTATTCATATTAATAAGTGCAGGCTGAGGGATCAGATGGATTATTCTGTGATGACATTTTTGGAGAAACACCTGCTGCAGTTCGTAAAATGGTATGAGAACCTATCCGTTTTGCAGTTTGACTTGTTTCATGTTGTATAAGGGCATTTAGATATTTTGTTTCCTTCTTGTTGGCAGGGCAAAGGCGATGGTTTGCAGATAGAGAGGAGTGGCCTTCATGACAATTGGGATGATCCAGATGGATATTATAGTAAGTATATGGATATCTTTGGTATCTCGCCTGTATGCTGACATTTATAGATGGTCTTCAATTCACTTGTTATTGTATTAATAATCATGGCTGCGGAATTTGTATGGTGAGAATTATAATTAAAATGGGAGTCACAGATTATATTATGGTGTGTTTAAATTTTAGCAATACATCGTATTAGAAATATAACTATCAACATACACATCAATGGGATCCTTGGTCTTGCTTTAGCCTATCCAGAATCTTAATGCTGTTAACTTGCATTTGAGTCTCCAAAACAAGGATTATTTTGCCTCTGTGCTGATGCTGTCGATTTTAAAATGAGTGATATGTAAATTGTTACATTTCTGATCATCTTGGTGGGATCCACATTAAGCCTTCTGGTAATCTTGTGTAGTTGTTGACTGGTTTTCATTCTTTTTATTGTCTTGGAGGAATTGCAGAAGAAACTGATCATTTATTTTAATCAACTTGTTGCTAATTTGTAGGTTCTATAATTTATTATTATTTTTTTTGCATTTAAAAAATGTATTTAATTCATATGGTCTTTGCTTATTCAACTTTTGTGTTTAATATAGACTATCGGTTTGGTGAAGTGCTTGATAGTCGGTATGAAATAGCTGCTGCTCATGGAAAAGGTGTCTTTTCAACTGTAGTCCGTGCAAAGGATCTCAAAGCTGGTCATGGTGAACCAGAAGAAGTGGCAATCAAAATTTTACGTAGTAATGAAACAATGTATGTCTTGCTTGCTTTATTTCTAGTGATCCTATTGTGGTGTTCCTTTTGTTGCACGTTCAAGTACTTGATGCTCTATTGCATCCTGTGATGTACAGGTACAAGGCTGGTCTGGAGGAGTTGGTCATATTGAAAAAGCTAGTAGGTGCAGATCCAGATGATAAGCGTCACTGTGTTCGTTTTCTTTCAAGTTTCAAATATAGGAATCATCTTTGTTTAGTTTTTGAATCTCTTCATATGAATCTCCGTGAGGTCTTGAAGAAATTTGGGCGCAATATTGGCCTTAAGCTAACTGCTGTGAGGGCATACGCTAAGCAGCTTTTTATTGCCCTGAAGCATTTAAGAAACTGTGGTGTTCTACACTGTGACATAAAGCCGGATAATATGCTGGTATGTTTTCAAGTTTTGATTCTATTGAATTGGTTGATCTTATGTTTCTCACGATGCTTGATAAAATTTCCAGGTTAACGAGGGAAAAAATGTTCTGAAGCTTTGTGATTTTGGAAATGCGATGTTTGCTGGTAAAAATGAAATCACGCCATACCTTGTTAGCCGGTTTTATCGTGCCCCTGAAATAAGTGAGTTTTCTTAGTTCCTTTTTCTTTTTCTTTTTTTTTTCTCTCTTTTTCCATCTGTTGAATCTGGTGGTCAAAATGGTGCACCTGTTTTCATATGTTATTGAACATTTCTTTCTCCAAGTAAACTCTAGTTCTAATTTTCTTTGCATGTTGCAGTTTTAGGGCTGCCATATGACCATCCAATGGATATCTGGTCTGTGGGTTGCTGTTTGTACGAGCTTTCTACAGGAAAAGTTCTTTTTCCTGGTCCTTCTAATAATGACATGCTGCGTCTACACATGGAATTAAAGGGCCCCTTTCAGAAAAAGATGCTTCGTAAGGTACATAGTTTTGTCCTCCAAAGGACAGGACAGGAGATTTTTTTTAATTACAATTTGTCTCTAATTTACGAGTTAAAGTTGTAACTTGTTTATTGCTAATGATGATTTTTCCTCTCCTATTGGTTTTACAGGGAGCATTTACTGAGCAACATTTTGACCAGGACCTGAACTTCCATGCTTCTGAGGAGGATCCTGTAACAAAAAAGGTAATTATTTATCCCTTTTTCTGATTTCAGGGTCCAAAGCCACCCACTTGTGTATGCTGTGCCACCAAAATTTTACTGGAAATTTGCTGCGGTATATGATTACAATTTATTTATATTTTCTGGACATCAAAGTTTAGTTTTGAAGTTTTTAGAGCAAATATCATCCGGTAAAAGATTTTAAACGCTGTTTTGTGCGTTTGTGTGTGAATGGTATTGCATTTTGAATGTGGCGCTACCTATGGCTGCCTTATCAGTACTGACTGAGATTTGAATTTTACTTTTGCAGACCATAAAGCGAATAATAGTCAATATAAAGCCTAAAGATATTGGATCAATTATTAGGGGATCTCCTGGTGAAGATCCAAAGATGTTAGCCAATTTTAAGGATCTTCTAGACAAAATTTTTGTGTTGGATCCAGAAAAAAGGATGACAGTATCACAAGCATTGAATCATCCATTCATCACTGGCAAGTGATCAATGCTGCTGCTTTTATGACACCAGAGTTCAGTAGATTTCTTGTAAATTATGACCTAATTCATACAGTTTCTGATCACTTGGTATTACCAGTCTTCTTTATGATGACCTAAGCTTCTGGCACACTTATGGGATGATTGAATTCAGAAGGGGTCATATTGGTCAAGAGTGGCGGGTTCTTTCAGTGGAATGTACTGTTTCTATTGTAAGACAACTTGCTGAAAGCGTTTCTTCGCCTTGTAATCATTTTTTATTGTGACCATTATGAAAATTTTGTCCATACTTGTTTTCCACATTATTTTTTTTTATTTTGTACTTCAAACACCATTTCTGCAGTTGTGCAATAGTAAGGACAAAAAAATCTATTAAGTTTTAGTGCTTTGGTAAATAAAGTTTGTTCTTTTTTTGAAGATGGTTTGTGGTTTATATGCAGTGCTTATTTTTTATTTTGGTTTTTTATACAATACTTGCGGTTTTCCTTACTAATATGGAGGCTGGCAAGATGTTATCTTCTGCTGTCCTCTCTCTCCCCACCTCTTTCTCTCGAGCCATTTTGTTTCTTGCTTTCAGGTTCTCAAGTGTCTAATATAGTTTTTCCTTCAGGATCTCTGCTTCTGCTCTGAGAGAACCTTCCAGTGCTTGAGTGATTTAGAGGCACTCTGGAGAAGGTACCTTGGTTTGTTTTTTTGGGAGAAAATTGTGACCGCGTTGATATTAGTTAAGAAGCCTGTCTTGTTATTTTCCTTGATGCATGTGTATTTGTGATCATTATTTATTTTATTATACCACCAGTGGAGGGTGGTTGGAGAATGAGGATATGCTAGTAATCGATAAGAGGGTGTACAACAAGAACTTTTATTTATCACCTCTTTATATTAATTCATGTATAACAGTAGTCTAATTAATGTGTTTGAACTATTGATAATCTTTGAAATGTTGCTTGGCAGTATTGAATCATGTTAAAATTTATTGTAGTCTTCAAAATTTATTTGACGTCTTTAGTTTGAATGAAACCTAATGATTGCATTGTACTGGTATAGTCGTTTATGGAAGCACCCGGAGAGGTTGAATGAAACCTAATGATTGCATTGTACTGGTATAGTCGTTTATGGAAGCACCCGGAGTGGTTAAGCATTGTACTGGTATAGTCGTTTATGGAAGCACCCGGAGAGGTTAACCATTGTGGCACCAGGTGAAGTGTTTTTTTTTTTTTTTTTAATAATTTTAAAATATGTGTCATCAGTTTAGTTTTAAAGTTCATTGTCTCATTTGGATTTTGTTCTCTTTTTTTAGGGCGAACTGTATTTCCAATTTCATACAACTATATCCTCATTATCTTGTAAGTATTTCCAATTCCATACAACTATTGCAAGGTTACATTCCATACAACTATTGCAAGGTTACAAATATGAAGATTATAGTTTGATTTCCTTTCTATCTTCAGGATATGATAAATACTTGTCCTATGCATAACAATTTGATTATAATGAAAGCATTAGACTATCAGATATCATGAACCAAGAAGCATTGAATGAATATGAAATAAATAGATGTTTTAAAATAGTAATGAATTTTTGTATCAATATTTGTATCAATATATATATATATAATTCGAATAAAATAAGACTTTGAAAATCAGTCTGATTATGGGCTGGCCCGGACTTAAAAATAAGACTTTGAAGAAAGTCCATATAAAATAGGTTATTTCTAGATGATTATATATATATATAATTTGAATAAAATAAGACTTCTGAAAATCGGAAGTCTGGGATTATGGGCTGGCCCGGACTTAAAAACGAGTGTTGGATTGTGAACGTATTTATCAGTTATGAACACAATCCAATGGTTTCGTTGCTGGAGGCTTTCTAATCCGTGCTTGTTATAATCATTTCTTGGTATTGACTAGGAAGGTTTAATTATCGAGTTCATTTTTACTGTTTGGTCTAGTTATGTCGATTATATTCAAGGTCACTCTGAACACAATCCAATGATCCAATGAGGTTCTTTGTTTCATTGCGGGAGGCTTTCTAATGGGTGCTTGTTATAATCATTTCTCATGGTATTGACTACAAAGGTTTAATTATCTAGTTCATTTTACTTATGTCGATAGTTCATTTCGCTATTTGGTCTAGTTATGTCGATTATATTCAAGGTCACTCATTTCACTCTCCTCTACCTAGCTTATTTAATGTTGCTTACTCTCTAATTACCTGTTTTGTGTAATTGCTTCTCCACAAGTGTGAAGTTCTTTTACTCCCCTCCAGTATTGTTTATTTGGCACCTGATGATTTCAAGGTTTCAGAAAAATGTTCCTCTGGGTTTGTTCGGTACTAATCCCTCTAGCTTGGATTGACTTGTTTATTCTCATACTATTATATTTGTTAACTGCCCGTTTAAGTTTTATTCTGATATCAAATTCTGTTAGATTCTCAGTACGAATTTAATATTTGTAACTCCACATCGGAATTGTAATTTGATCTTTTGTTCTGTCGCATCTTGGTTGGGATATCAGCAGTCGCATTAATTATGCACATGGTATATTGTTGGACTCGTGCGTACAGGCTTGGGTTTATTTTTAAAATCTTATCTGTTCTTCATGCCGGTTGATTAATTGGTCTTGTTGTCAGTTGGGTTTATTAGCAGAATATCTTGACTTGGCATATGTATTATCATGTTCATCCCGTATCAGTTAGGATTCTCAAGTTCATAATTGTATGGACATTTACGTTTTTTTTTTTTTTTTCTTGCGTCTTTTACCTACTTGTTATACTGTAATTTTTGGGATCTTAATTTGATTGCATTTAAGACAATTGGATACACATGCACGATAAATAGTGTCCTGTGATAAATTTAAGAGTTCTTTACAGGCCTATTTGTTTCTGTTGCTGTATGTCTTTTCATCAAGAATTTCTTCTCTTTATTTGTATTGGCAGCATGAAGCCTAAGCCTAAGTCATTGCTCCTCTCTGCTTTACATTAAGCAGCTTATACTCGTACTGTTAGAGGATGCTTAATGTCTGTCTTCATCCTACGGAGATTAACTTTCCAAGTACTTGAAATCTGTAGTTTAGTACTGGTTTTTTTGTGCTGGTTAACTGTAATATTGGGTTAAAGCAGGTGCCGTATCTTGCGTTCTGTTGTGTCCAATGTTGTATAGTTTCCAATTTCATCTCCAATGAGGTGCATATGGCTCGGTGTAATCAGAAGCATTGCTTGTCAAGCTCCCGTAAAAATTAATTTCCAGGAGCAAGATGCTGGTACAATTTTCCCAGGGATTATCCCGATCACCTTCGCGGTCACCAGAATTGATCCCTATCTTTGAAGATTTTAGTTCATGTTGATAACACTGTACCAACCAAATTATGTGATAAACCAGTTTTATTAATAAATGTCCGTGAAATGCTTAATATAATTCGACAGATGAAATGATATTATTGACTTGTTATTCTGCTAATCTTGATAGAGATGTGCTCATGATCTATCATTGCTATAAAACTAAGTTTTTACAAAGAATCATTAAGCTAAATTCCTTTATCATTAACAGATACAAAAAACCACTTTTCTTGATTTTAATAAAGCAAAATAATCAAAAGGTTAATCTTCCTAATTAGCAAAAAAAAAAAAAAATTATGAAATTAGACTCTCTAGAATGGGCACTATTGACAAAAATGAGATGGAGAAAGGGCATAATTGAAATTAAACAAATGCCAGAGGACTAAGACTGTAATAGAAATAGTCTTGTTGATCTTTTGGTTGTTTATAGCAAGAGGCAGGCAATATCCATGAAATTGTTGTTACTTGTTAGTCATCAGAAAAGTTGTTGAGAAAACTCAACTCGGCTTTGCATTTACAGCAAGACCGGTTGGTATAATTGACCCAATCATAGAAAGAAACAGATGATCTTGGTATCATCATTTTCAATTGTCCAGATTTCCTTCTCTATTAAAGATGTGATCAAGGAAGGAATTATGGAAATTAGGTACTTTTAATCCACGCTGCTATAGATTAGTTCTGAAAAATCCAATCTTTACTACAGGTCTTGACAATTTTGGTGGAAAACTAGAAAAATCCAACACTTTCAGTTCATTGGAAAGACCCTTCTCCTTTGCACGTTGTTTACTCTGATATGATCTTGGTGAAGTGTTTCTTACACGCCAACCGCGTCAAACCTTCCCTTTTTTTCTTGCCCTGTTTCATTTACTTGTAACTATTACCTCTATTTCTATCAGTTTCGTCCCTTCGTTTGTCCACACCTGAAATTCATGCTTCTTAAAAAATATGTGCGTGTGCTCTGACTATTATCAATGTGTATATATATATATATATATATTTCTTCATTCCTCCATGACCAAGATCTCTCAGAAACAGTGGAGCATTATTGAGCATGGGAAAGAAGCTTGATGCACTGCTGGGAAGAAGCTTCAAGACCACGAGGTTCAAATCTCTAGTTAATCTGGCCATCTCTCGGCTCGCTGTCCTTGCAAACCAGCGCCAGGTGAGATCCTCCCAGGCTCGTTCTGACGTAGTTCAGTTGCTGCAGCTTGGCCACCAAGAGAGAGCCCTCCTTCGTGTAAGATCATTTTTTAAGTACTTTTAAACATCGGTTTCGGCTCCATAACCTTCAAAGCTTATAATAGGAGTCTTTGACAGGTTGAGCAAGTGATTAAGGACCAGAAACTGCTGGATGCATATGTGATTATAGAGAGTTACTGTGAGGCTGTACTTGAAAGAATCAGGCTACTTGAACAACAGAGGTCGGTAAATGAACCTGTAAATGTGAACATAAAGAGATGGATTTGGTCTGATTCTGATAATTTTGTTTTTGATTATGTAGGGAATGTCCAGAAGAACTGAAGGAGGCAATTTCAGGTTTGATTTTTGCATCTTCAAGATGTGGGGATTTCCCTGAGCTAATAGAGATTCGTTCAGCCATTACCAGTCGTTTTGGCAAGGAGTTTACTGCTCGTGCTATGGAGTTGCGCAACAATTGTGCTGTTGGTCCAATGGTATGCTTTGCTCTATGTTCTCGTTATTTGGCCTAAATCCACGGCTAACAAATATTATAAAGGATGTTTCGTTCTCCTCCCCAATCGATATACGATCTCACAATCAACCTCCTTTGGTGCCCAGCGTCCTCGCTGGCACTAGTTTCTTATCCTATCGATGTAGGACTCTCCAATCCACCTCCTTCGGGCCCAGCATCTTTGCTGGCACACTGCCTCGTGTCCACTCCTTTTGAGCCCCAATGTCCTTACTGGCACACCACCTCATGTCCATCACCTTCGGGGCTCAGCCTCCTCACTGGCACATGGCCCGATGTCTGGCTATGATACCGTTTGTAGCGGTCCAAGCCACCGCTAGCAGATACTGTTTTTTTGGGTTTTCTTTTTCGGGTTTTCCCTCAAAGTTTTTAAAATGCGTTTGCTAGAAAAAGGTTTCATACCCTTGTAAAGAATGTTTCATTCTCCTCTTCTACCGATAATGAGATCTCAACTTTTAAGCAGTGTTTGCTCAAGTTTATATGCCAATTTTCCCTTGCTGTTTTCACTGAGTGATGTGGTAATCTTGGGGTTTTCAGATAGTAAAGAAGCTGTCAGCGAGGCCACCAAGCTTAGAGGTCAAATTGGAGTTACTTAAACAAGTTGCTTCTGAAAATGGCAGTACTTTGAAAGATTTGGAGGCCTATGAAGTTTCAACTGAGGTAGGAAATGAAATTAATGATCCATTACAAGTTCTTGCGTTATTGAGTGCCTAAAAAATAGATGCAGGAATCCAAAGTGGAAGGCGTTTATGAGATTTTACCTGAAGAGATAGAGAAAGAGAGTTGGTATGCTGATTCGATGAGAGGAAGAAAGAAGTACAAAGACGTGGGAGACGCTGCCCAGGCAGCATTTGAGTCGGCTGCTTGTGCAGCAGCTGCAGCCAGAGCTGCTGTGGAACTCGCTCAATCTAAATCACCTGATCAAGATGATGTGAGTAATCCGAGCCGAAAACCAAGAACATTCACTGAAATTCATGAATCCAAGAACAGTGAGATAGAATTAGAATCAAATAACAAGGAATTGAAGCAGCCAGTGTGTTCCTCTAGTTTAAAGGAGAATGAGAATCCAATTGAAGCAGTGAATATAACCGATCTGCTGGAGAAGGATTTGGTTTTTGAGGAGAGTGATGTTGATGGTGGGAGTGGAGAAAGCAGCAGTTCAACTCTTGAGGAGAAAGTCGAGGTTAATAGGACAATAGATGTCCGTAGGCACTGAGGAGCTTGAATATATTGTATCATAATTGGAGTCTGTTTAAAGATAATAATTTTTATAAGTAGGATTCATTTATTGTTAAGAACCCTAAGTACATACATTGTGTGCGAATATTTAACTTGGATTCACTTAATTCAAATTTTGTCTATACGTCTAAATAGTATTCAATTTCTTTATGTTTATTTATAATACTCTTGTATCACTGTTATGCTTGTCCAAGACATGTTGTCTATAGCAACATGTCGGATGTTCTGATCATGCTTATCCAAGATGTCTTATCTATGACTGCATGCCTGTCCATTTCATCTTTTCATTTTAGATAAGTTTTTACTATTTCATGTTGTGTTAGTATGAGGGTATATGATCGTTCACCAAAATCATGTCTACACCCGCTAAGGTTAAAATGTCCCAAAATGTATTATAGGTAGATATGACTAGTTCTCACTTCTTACCCTAAGTTATATGTTATTTAAGTCATGGTGTTCTTTTATTTGCTTATAACCATATAAAGTTGTTTTCTTCTATTTTTCAAATTGTTTTCAAATGTATTTTCTTGCTCACGTTTCTTAGAACATTTTTCATAATCACAACCCAAGGCTCGATATATGTTGACGCTGTCTACGAAATCTGAATTTCTCACGAGTGACTTGTTCGTTAGGTTAAAACAAGTGCCGCAAGAGTACGATTGTGACACCCCACCCCTTCCCTTTCCCCTCCCCTTAAAGGCATATAACAGTCTTCACTTAGGGATGCAACTGGTCATCTCAAGTACATTGGTACAATCTTAGCCTAAGAAACATGGGTATAGATATGAGACATAGATATGACTAAAGAACACATCTTTTTTAAAAATTGAACATGGACAAAGACAATTTTATTAAAAATAAATTCAAACTCAACAAGAAATAAATTCAAACTCAACAAGCATATATTTATATGCTTACAAAATTAGTTGATGTATTTTGCTCCAAAATTTTATTATTTTTGTCATGCATGTGTGTTAACAATTGTTCAATGCATGTCTAACAAATGCATAATCGTTCGCTGCATGTCTAACAAATGTGCCAGATAGAAGCATGCTACCCAAACTAAAGCATTTGTGCTTCAACTCATAATCTACTTGACGATGGTGGTATATTCTTAATCTTAGTATTCTCTTCATCTAACCTGTCTCTAGCATGGAACACCGATTCCTTATTTTCCTCGAAAGTGAAACCTAAACGGATCGGGCACCCATGAGGCTAAAGGCTGATACATTAACATAGTGCAGATAAGAAATTAATCTTTCTTCTCGAGTCCACACAACAGCAGAGACTATTACCTCTTTTATTGCATGACCACTAGAAGTTTAGTTCACAGTTCAGTCAATTGAGGGAAAGAACCTCACTGACCAAGTAAATTATAGAATACAGTAGAAACCCATTCGACAAAAATTGTGTCAAGGACGGCAATTTCTTTTACTCAGCATTTTAGTTAATAAATTGTTTCTTCAACTTAGCATGGATCAATGAAAACAACTTGATAAGTAATCCTGATACAAAAGCAAACCTTTAGGCAGACAGAATCTACCTGCATTTGCTCTACTTGGACGCTCCATTTTATGTTATCACTCACTTGCCCCTGGGCCGTTTTCGATTTTGTGGTAACATGTCGCTGAATGACTGCAAATTCACGCCCACATCTTCATCGTACTCAATGCCAAGTTCTTCCTGTATGAACACAAAGTATTTAATCCAAATAATTGGAGTAAAAACAAGCAAAGCAAAATAATCTGAAAGAACCTTAAAGTCTTTTAGATTCTTAGGTGAGTTCTCAGTGATAACATCCCATATATCTTTGAACATCCTTTTTCGCTTTCGCCACTGGCCTAGTTTCTCAGAGTATATCTGCTCGATTGCTTTGCGGTCTTCTGGGCTCACCAACGTAACACCTCCGCGTAATGTTTCCAATTTTTCTTCCAATTCCTTAACCTGACAAACAGTTACCAAACGAGCTACTTTTTGAGACATTGACAACAGATAAAGAGGGCCACATTATCACTAAACAGAACGAAGTAAAGTTTCAGCTAGCTAATTTAGCATTTCTCTACCTCCTTTCTCAGCATAGCTTCCTTTTCCCGCATTTCTTTCAGCGTTAAGTTTGACTGCAACGTTCGAATTTCTATTGCAAAAGTTCATGCCGCTATCATTTTTATTTCTCGGAACTTGAATACCGTAATTGACAGGGCTTAAATGATTCATAAACTTAACAATATTGAAGACTTCTTTGAAATTTTCAAGTGTAATTACCTTCCTCCACCTGGGTAATAGCCTTTTTTTGCTCGCTTAGATGTTGCTGCAGTTTGGCGTTTGCTTCCTTCATTTGAGTAAGTTCCTCGCTGTTTGGGATCTTGAATTGGTCTTGCCGGGCGAGATATATCTTCTGCTTGCCATACTCCTTGAAAGAAATTCGTCCACTATCGGCAAGGGCATCCAGTGCCTTTTGCACCCCTGTCTTCTTGAGGTTGAATTTTTGTAATGAATCAGCAACATTTTGAGAGTTTAGTGGACGATTTTGCTGAACAGAACAAAAATCCGGCAAATGCCGTTAGACAAGAAAGGCCAAAAGACCTAACCAACGAATAAAAGATGACAGTAGCGCTGCAAGCGAGTTGCATCGTGAAATTGCAAACGCACTCGGCAGCCAAATGGAGATTCATCGAAACAAATCGCTCGGATGTGTGTTTTACCCAACACTCAAGCGACGAAGACGGAAAAGTTCTTCTACATACAAATTAGGGTAACAGTAAACAACACGAAGATATAAGTACAACAAAGCGTAAAAGCTTATAATCTTCGCTGCAATGAGCACAGAACGGGGATAAGGAACTGCACACGTTTGAGGAATATCAAGTAGACCAGTGAATCGGCGAATTACAAACAATTAATGATCACAAAGAAATCAGTGAAGCAAAGTGATGAAACAATACCTCGTTAACGAAGTTGAGCACGATCGCTGGAAATTTTAGAAACGAAGTCAGGAATGAAGGATTTAATTTCTACGTTGAAGATATCATACATCCAAAATTGGAACCAAAATTATGATAAAGAAATCATACTGCCAAGAATTCAAAAAAAAAAAAAAAAAAAAAAAAAA